GGGAGACATAGAATACCTTCACTGCATGTTCAAGTATATTCAGCATGATTTCCTACACCTTCAGTTAATCAACAGATGTCAACTTTTAATTGATATTCGAGAAACTTCACAAATTGCGAAATTAACATTGGAGATTTATGAATTCAATGAGAGCAACTCTGACGAAAATTTTACAGTAGAGGTGGTCGAACAAAATAAAAATAAGTTTGAAATACACGGTATCACCAGAAAATAATATTATTTATTTTATCAGCTTGTTTTTCATTACAAGGTTATGTTTTATCTTCCTACTGCTTACTGAAAGTGGATGGTTCTCTTCATAGTGTCGAGCATTCCTATTCCAAGTTCACCTCCAGTGTCTGGCCAAGACTTGACGTTGGGCCACATCCTCTAGAATTCATCTGTTAAGCGCAAGAAGGATGTTACCCTTCTAGTAAAGTATATGAGTTAATGACCTTTTGGCTCTCAGCAGGCAAATTCATCTAGGATATCAAGTCCTAGAGCAGAAGGGTGTAATAAATGTGTGGTAGGAGGCTGCTAATTTGAGTGTTGCTCCTAGGAAGGGGTAATATAATTTCCAAGGGAAGGGGATGTTTGGGTTGGTAGGTACTCCATATGCCAAGGAGGGGTACGGTATTGCCCCCCTGGGATGGTGGTTTTATAGAGGTATATACAAGGTCATAGACCTGTGAGATGTAGATAGTCTGTAAGCACAAACTCTCTTTATACATACGTTTTAAACAAAGTCAAAGTCAAGTCTACAAAAGTAATCTTTGCTGAAGGAGAAGTACACTGTTTTCCTGGGAAAAGGAGAAGGGGGGGGGGGGGGGGGGCTGCTAACACAATTTTTTTCTGATTTGTAATTTTTAAAGTTTTGTATTGAAAGGATAAACATATGATGAAGAGAAATTATAACTTTTGATAGTTGAGCAATGTATGCTGAGTAAATGCATTCTATAGATGTATAGTCAAAGAAAGAAATCTACACATTTTCAAGTTTGTATATAAAATATATTTCATTTACACCTACACAACACATTTCAGTGCACTCATCATTTAAATTGCCGACAGTGACATACATGTAAGGCTTTTTACATGTACATATATTATGACTTATCTGTAACATCTTTCCAAATATTTTATTACAATGTTGAAAATGTTAAGAAGGAAATCTGTGTTGAAATAAGGAACATATCAAATCATCACTGTGAAGCTCCACTTGATGAAATAACTGGTGTTAAAATATTAGCGGGCATTTAGGCCTATCACCTCTTTTAGCTGCAGCTGAAGGGTGGGTAAACATTTCTTCATGAATAATTGCGCTGAAGCCCCAAAACTGACTAATATTCATGAAGTGTATCTCCCTGAGAAGACATTGATGTATCTCGCAACTCATCCTCATTCTTCATGTTTACTCTACGCAGCTAGCACGTCGCCGTGCTGAACTTGCGGAGAAGCGCTAATGTGGGGCCAAATGAAATGAAATTGGACGTGTTAGAGTCGGATGCACTCTATGCATAAAATGGGGGTTAGAAGGGGGGCAGCTGTGCAGGAAGATACATGAGATGCGCTGAAATGGAGCGAGGATGCAAATGTGTAATGGATGCGGAGGAGTGGGAGGGAGAGTAGGGGAGGAGAGGAGGAGAAGAGGGCAACATGAGCAGGATAAGTGTTTAGGGAAAGGAACAGGTGGTGTTTTAGGACCTTGAAATGGTCTTGATTTATGGGATCATGAAATTGGTTTTGACCTTCAGGTACATAATAAAGGACTAGAAACTGAAGAGGCATGTGCCTAGATACAGGAGAGTAGAAGATAGGAAGGGTGGAGGAGAGATGAAAGACGAAAAGGAAAAGGAAGTTAAGGAGATCAAAGCATAGTGGGGAGTAAACTGCAAAGAGGAATAGGATAGCATATAGAAACATTTCTAGATCCATCTGTAGAGGAAAGAATGTATGTGTGTGTTTGTGTGTTTGTGTGTGAGAGAGAGAGAGATAAGGCGTGTCTGCACTATCTCGAGATTGCCAAATATCCAGCTATTTGAATTATCCCGATCGCAAACTATCCAGCTTATTTGCGTCTTCATTAGACCGAAGTAGCAAATTAGCTGGATAGTTGGTCGGGATAATATCCCAAGATATCTCGGTCTAGTTTGCGGTTTTCCGTGTTTACTCGAGGTCAGTGGTTGCGAGGTCAGCGCTGAGCGGTATAGATCGCATGTGCGAACCGGAAATCGTTGTGCATGATGGGATCGGTCTAATGAAGACGGTCGCAAACTATCCCGCTAGTTCGGAAATAGAAGGATATTTTGCAAACTAGACCGAGATATCTTGGGATATTATCCCGACCAACTATCCAGCTAATTTGCCACTTCGGTCTAATGAAGACGCAAATAGCTGGATAGTTTCGATCGGGATAGTTCAAAATAGCTGGATATTTGGCAATCTCGAGATAGTGCAGACACGCCTAGAGAGAGAGTAAAGTTAATAGTTAATAGAGAACTAGTTAATTTAATTATGTCAAGGGGGCAATTAATCAGAACATTAATTTGATGTACGATGTAGGCTACATCTCTGATTGATACCTCTGTACACCCACATAATGCAGTGCTTGAATGCGGAATGTATCAGACTGAGGAGGTACACTGTAGTAATGCAAATTCATAAGTGTTACCAAAAATTGTTTTAGTGAGTTAAATTTTGTCCATTTCTAAAATTGAAGGACTTTTTCCCTTTTTAAATCTACATGTATGCTGATTTAAACTTAAGAAGAATGTAACAAAAAGATGGCAAAATGCTCAGTATTTTTTAATACCTTTTTGACATTACTATCAACAAATAAGTGAAGTCAAATAAAATGACATTTACCCTTGATAAATCTGTGTATTAAGTCATTAACCTCAAAACTTGACCCATTTTTTGAAAAGATCTGCATCAATGTAAAGTAATCTGAAAATCAATTCATCATTCAAATCAGTATCAAGAGATTAATTTATAAGTTGCTTTCTGAATTTATATTTAGTAACACTGTTCCAATTTCACTTTGGTTTAATGGTGCATGAAATTTCTTTAGTGCTTCAATGGGTTTTCAGGTCATAAGCCCTGTGCATGATTTGGATGAAGGAATATTGCCTATTCTGTTATTATGTGCTGGTCTCCTAAAGTCTAGTAAGCTGCTGGCACTGCTGTAACATATGGTTGACAGATCGGTAGCAGCGCTCAAGAGCTCTTTGTAGCCCCCTAAGCCCGTTAATACATTATGACATCACAAAATGCGATCTGACCATTGGGAATTGTTTTGCAATGTAACTTTAATCAATAAACCATTTACTGCCCTCTCTCTTCTTTAGTGGTCATTTGGGTGTATTTTTATCAATCAATAGGCCCGTGACAAGAATACTTGTAGTATTTTGGGTATAGGTTATATTAGGTACTAATTAAAATGTTAATGGTATTACGCTTCAAAGGAATGATAATCTATTTCTAATCACAATAAAAATGCAATGATGACAATGATGAATTTTAAAATTGATGACTAGTGTTCATGCATTATAAATAATGTATTGCTTTTTTTTTACTCTTCCCTCAAAAAATATGTTTGAAGCATACATGTATACATAGGTCCTTCTGATCTTACTCATATAATTCTAATCATTGTGTGAGATTTGGATTTCTCTGTACAGTCCCACATAGTTTAATTCATGTATACTAGACCATAGCTAGTACACTATTGACTGCTTTAGCATGGTTAATTAGTAAGTAATTCAAACATGAGTAATATCAAATAATAATCATGCTCCTCACATTATCAAACTTACAAGTTCTCTTTCATTTTTTTCTCTCCATGGATTTAAGGAAATGCTATGACAAATCCCCTATCCATGTGCATGAATATTTTCTTAAATTTATCTTACATTTAGCACAAATAGTATTTTATTAGAAAATGTCCTAAAAATAAATTGCTAAGTCTGGAAAGTTTTTGATAACATTTCAGTGATTTCATGGGACAAATAAGTTAGCCTTTGATAAGAAAACTAAGATTGTATCAAGGCATTATGCTCAGTAAAAATCACATACATAACGTGCTTACTGCATGCTTGTCTCACCTCAATAACACAAAGCCTATAAACTGTTATTTTCCACGTTTAACTGAAGTATCTTTGTGAACAAACACGATGAAGTGTATACACAGCGCACCTCTCTGAGGGGAGCAGAGATTTCTCTCGATATTTGTTGTAACCATTAACATTGGTGCTTCGTTGACACAACGGCTGATAATAGCTTTGTGTCTCGGATTGGAGTTTATCTTTGTCAATATTAGAGCATTGGCGTCGATAGATAGTGATTTCTGGCATTGGTATTGTTACATTGCATTGTCCTGTTCACATTTCAAATTTGATCTGGATTATGAAGGCCTTTTATTTGTATGTAATCTATTACTTTCACTGTCTATAAATATTTCGTAGCATTACAAATTTTTTGTATGATTGATGAATATTTCATGGTACAGCAATTTTACAATTACCAGGTCAAAATGTGAAATACAGTAAGTTGTTATTTGTGATCGCTAAGGAAAGCAATGAATAAAGTTTATGAGAAAAAGAGCATTTTTAAAGTCTTCAAAAATCATGAAATGGCACTAAATTAAACTAAATTAATGTTAAGGTGAATGTGCTTGTTTTCATGTGTTGTTTTTAATAAGATTTTAGTGAAGTAGGATGAGTTTCATTACTAGACGGCTTGTTGTAATGTTAAAGCTTTAGACAGTCTCCCATGATGTATTGTTGATATTTACGAATTGATAAGAATCTAAACGCTATTCTATAAATAGAAGTTTAAAAAAATTGAATTAAGTGAAGCTTATCAATCATAGAAATAAATTGAAGAACAATATATACGTTTGTATGGGTGGAATTTACCTGACTGCTATATGTTGCAGACTAAATTTTTGCTTACCTGCTTATAAACAATCTATTTTTTCAATTGTTTTTCCTCACTTGCAGGAAAGATGACAAGAAAGAGGATAAGAAGGATGACAAAAAGGATGATAAGAGCAAGGATAAGGAGAAGAAGAGCAAGAAGGAAAAGAAAAAGTACAAGACCAAATTAGAGGTAAGTTTACAACTACAAATCATTTGGGAAATTATACCGTCTAATCTTCATTATGTAAATGATCAATGCTTCCTGCATCCTGTGTCTTAATCATATTCCTTTTGTAAGTAGGCCCTACATGGAAATAGCCCTCGTTGTAGGTCTAATATTGATTACAATTCGTTGTCGATACTATCAACGGAAGAACCCATACATTGATAAGTATGGCGGATCCGTCGGTTCATAAAACTGCTGACGAATTGCATGGGAGCAGTACAGACTTGATAGCATTCAGGCCAGTGTGTACTAGTGCAGGCTCATCAATGAAGCAGATCATGTAAAAGTGTAATAGCTCCCTCTAGAGTGTATGTGTATTTAATCACCTCTGTCAGTACTGCATTCAAGCAGCTGATTGGGGGTCTTTCATCATACTTCTGTTCTTTCATCTGTGTATGGGTTGTGAGATATGTATTGTGGGTTCATATGGATGACAGCTGACAAGCTGGGAATAATGTTAAAATGATTGATCATTGCATGACATCAATGTTAAAGGAAAGGGAGGATGAGATAGAGATAAAGTGAGAGATAGAGAGAAAGAGAGACAGAGATAGACAGATAGATAGATAGATTGATTGATAGATAGATAGAGTGAGAGAGAGAGAGTATAGTTTAAACAAGTTGAGAGACATAGAGCAATAGAGAAAGTTAGTAAGTTAGAGAGCGAAACTAAGGGCCTTACAGAAAGTTAGAACTGATAAAACAAGGAGACAGACAGATTACAGACATCTACAGGGAGACACACAGACAGAGCAGAGATAGGATCTGAGTGTCCTCCTTGATGAATGTCTAACATTCTGGTAAAGAGAGAGTGATGTGCTGGAAGATAAACCACAACACCGACTACATGACTCCCTTAGAGGCCTAACCAAGCAGACGCTAGTGATCACCTCGTCAACATCAGCATCGAGCATGAAACTTGTACAAAGTTAGGCCAATTCACTGTTGTCGAACTAAGAAATGATAGAGAGAATACAGGCTCCAGAAATGCTGCCTACTATTCCCAGGATCGGTCTGCAAATTTGTGCGCTTCATGAATATATGCATCTGGAGTAAATCAAAATCACTTTCAGTAAATGAAATAAGTAATGAGTTAATTGGAGTATTAGGAAAGTAGTGCAATGTATGAGCATCGTGGTATGTTACTCCTTATTAAGATGTTGAGAGTCTACATTTAAAGGGATTCTCTCCATCCATGAATAATTACAAAGTAGGATTCTTTTAATGAGATGTACTATGTGTTGATGATGGCAGCATGAGCGGATGCTAGCGTTACAATTTGCAGAATGCAAGCATTATTTTTTTTAATGGTTATATTTGAATATTCAGTTAATCATGTTGATTAAAGATATATTAGTATTTTTATTAAAATGTTCATATAATCAACTTATAAGACACTTATAATAACACAACAAAATCAATTTCAAATTCATTCATCTTTTAGCATTCTCTATTTTCTCCAACAATCTTTGATAAATCTATATGTTTTTGGTAATATGGTAGTATATTTTTCTTCAAATTTGTCTTCCTCATCATACTGCCTATCATCCTTGTTTTCTCCATCTTCTAAAGATGAGATATTGCTCCAAGGTTATTATCCTCCTTCATCTCTTAATTATAAGCCTTGAATCCTCCTCATTGCAATGACCCAAAACAACATCCATACACCACACACTATCCCACGGCCAGATCTATCCATATCACTCCATGCGAGGCACGACCATCATATTCAATTGCGAGCATAACACACAAATGCATGCCCGGTGAGGGGTTGCGCATCACATATACCTGATGGTGCGGTTCAAGCGGACAGGCAGAGGGAACGCCAGTAGCACTCGAGCAAGAAATCTCCCTGTTGACTCTTAGGTGACAATACTTGAAGAATACTAATGCCTGCCCAAATAACTCTTGGATACATCTTGTTATGAGTCCAATCACTTTCCAAGCCCCGAGCTACATGTGGAGTCATGAACCGTATATATTTGTCTGCATTTGTGTGGACTTAGGAGGGCCCCTCCATGTCCAGTTTCTAAGTTATTTTGGTCAAGGATGATAATTGAGCAAGTAGCTTAGAGTACAATCTAGAAAAACAACACATTCCTCTTCTCTCCTTACCCCCAAACTGAACTCATATTTTTGTACATCAGTATACAATTTCTTTCTTCTGCACATTGGTACACATATCTTTACTATTTGTATTTATCATCTATTCCAAAAGTCTCAGGAGTAGAGCGTAATTAAGCTACATATTTACCAGTGAATCATTTACATTTCCCTAGCTATGCTTTAGGAAATTGTGATTTTGAACAAACAGTTCAAGGTTAGAAGAGTACTCATTTGCATACCTCCTGGTGTAGAATGAAGCTAAAGGAAATTGTTATTAACCGAAGAACCTATTTGGAAAAAATGAGGAATGATTTAGAGAACAATAATTTAGTAATTCTGCTTTTTGACGTAATAAGTGGTAACTGAACCCTCGACTGGCACAAACAAACATCTTGAGCTAGCCAGCGAGCTCCAGAAGCAATCATACTGAGAGGGTAGATAGCCTATCACACACATACAAACACACATTACAGGGCGATGACATGCGTTTGTAGACCTATATAGATAGATGCTTGCTTGCATGCATTCTAATGTGTGGGACTGAAGAAAGAATACAGGAAGAGAGTAAGTAAGTGAAGGGTGGTACTAATAAAGGTTAAAACGGAACATGGCTGGAGGAAATGAAAAATGTGAACTAGATTTGTGTCGATAGATGTAACCAATGCCACACACTTTTTATCTGATTTTTTATATTCTTTTAAAAATAAAGCAAAAATAATGTGAGTGGAAAAACAAGAAATAAGGGAGGTTTAACAAGAATTGGAAGGAAGTAATAGATGAAGAATATGCCATAGAATAAAAGGTGAATTGGGGTTACTTTATAATCACAACAAATGAGTTGAGATATTTATGATATCATTGGATAGGGACTTCATAAGTTTAAAGGTGTTTTGGCTCGACAATTGTAATGCAGAAACTGTGTGCAGAATCTAGAAAATAGACATACAAAACAATTACAATTTCTTATAAATTTCTTTTAAATGTGAGAAATAAAAATAGAGAAAAAGAAAAGACAAAAACAATAGTAAAACTGAGGTTTGAAGTAAATGATCTGATGAGAATTAAAGAGAAGGAAAAGGTGAAAAGAGAGGGATTGAGGAAAACTTAAATTGCTCAATTGTGCAAGAAACTTAGCTGACATGTAAAAGTACTTCACTTCTATTTTATCTTCTACATTGAGCAGAAACCTTTGAATAGTGCTACCCTCTTCTACCCTCCTTCTCTATGTCACGCTCTCCAGCGTAACGAATCGCTTGATGTTTACGCCGCACGGTCACACGCTGCTACGACGAGGAACCTGCAGGACGCGGCAGCCTGGCGCCATCGTCTGACGACTCCTCTGACAGCTTGCGCAAAGTTTAAGCCCTGCAAATAGAGAGGAATTCAGCCCAAAAAGGAAGACGAGTGGAAAAAGAAAAGAGACACAGATTTGCATTTTTGTAGTGGGACCGTGGGATTGGAGACTGCTGGGAAAACTTGATAGTGCATGAGGTTAGCTGTACATCTCTGCTCAGAGCCTCTGATAGTGATGCGTTTTTAAATACCCTAATGGTGTACCAATGCACTTTAACAGGCCTACATAAATAGAAGGAAAAACATCTTCTTCTTTTCCTTTGTAAAATGCCTTTGGAGTGCTTTGCAAAGTCTGTTGATTAACTTTGAAATAAATTATATTTCGCAGTATTTAAAAAAGGCAAATTCCATAATGTTGGTTTTAATAAATAATTAAAATGCATCCATCGACTGATGTACACTTGGACTTAAATATGACATTTTGCCAATGCAAAATTCTGAATGAGTATAGCTATAAGGATTGATGGGGATTTTGCTCAATATATATTAATTAGTTGTGTGGTATTTGTTGAACCTTGATTTTTAGAACTTTAGATCAGATGCACCAACCTTAAAATCTCTTTTGCTGATCATAGCTGTCATGAACAGGAATACCTGTTTTGTGTGGAGCTATGTTGAAACTGCATTATAAAACTACTTTATGTTTTTTCTATATGATGGTTAATTAATATACAATGGATATATGTAGGCTTCTTGTCTTTACTTTGTGATTTTGGTCAAATATTCTGTACTTATAGTCTCAAACAATTCAAATATTATAGGGATTTTTTCCTGAATCGATACTTCATTGTGAACTTGATAAATCCTTGTGGATAGGCTTATGCGATGCTGTTGTTAATTGCATAGTACTAACAATTTTCTATAATGAAACAAACTATTTCTCTTTTTTTGTTGTTCTTCTGATCAATTATTCCATATTAATTACACTATGCAAACAGGGATATTTGCCTTAAATGATGAATTGTTATGTATATTTGACCATCTCCCTTGTGTAGGCCTATACTGCGCTTTTGTGAAGTGGAAATTACAAACAATTGTATGGTTGTGAATCAGGTCAGAGCAAATAAGAGTTATTCTGGTGACAACAAATCGTTTGTGAGGCGAATGCATTTCAGCTCATGAATAGACGCTGGAAGAGAGAAATGAAGATGTGGTAAACAAGCCTTGAATTCTGTTGCCATGGAGACATGAAAACAGGCATGATGAGAGGGACATCTGCATCCAGTGCGGCAGAGAGAGAGAGAGAGAAAGAGAGAGAGAGAGAGAGAGAGAGAGAGAGAGAGAGAGAGAGAGAGAGAGAGAGAGAGAGAGAGAGAGAGAGGATGAGAAGGAGTGGTGTGAGAGTCAGCGATCACTGTGTGGTTGAAAGATTATAGAAGTGTTTCTTTCAGAGAATGGCTAAGATGGTATGGAAAGCCCTCCAGGAGAGGGAGGGAGGGAGGGATGGAGTGAGGAAGAAAGAAAGACAGAGATGGGGGGGGGGGAGACATATATCTTCATAAATAGAAGTAAGTCTACTTTTTTTATTAACATTTAAGTGTCTTTTTGGCAGTTTTGTAAAATGGTAAGGAATACTTCAGTAGATAAAGTTATGCTTGCACAGCATATGAGCCCATTGCAACTTCAGATCATTGTAGGTTTAACAAAGCATTGCAGTTCTAGGTTTACTTTCCACCTCTGAGCAAATTCCTAGTATTTCATTAAAATAATGGATTTAGAATGGGAGAATCTATAATTGTTTTGTAGGGCCTCCACGGAAAACAGTATTTAACTACTGATGGAGCCACCCTACTAAAAAAAAGACCAGTAAATAAAATAAATAAATAGAAAGAGAGAAATATATGTGTAAAATCCTTAACTCCTGACCTGTTGGTGCTGGAAGCTGTTGCATCAATCCACTCGGTCACTCACCTCTTTCAACCGGTTTGTACTTTTTCAAACTGATTACAAACCCCTTGTTATCTGATGTGATTAAAACCAGGCACCAAATTATCTATCCACGCCATCGTTCCTTTCCCCTCGCTAACACAACTTAATCCTTCCCCACTCTCCATTCAATTCAATTCTCTTCAATCGTCAAAATTAATTTGGCTGTTGTGGGATTACAAGCCAAATTGCTCCGAATCATAATCCCGCATTGAGTAAAAAATTGGGAGATGAGTTTCCATTGTCTTCTGCCATTTTGTGTTTTGGATTTGATATTTGATGGTGAGTTTAGATTACAGATATGGGGCATGCGGTTGGTTTGAGTTAATTGGAAGGAAATCAACATTGAGTGGAACAGGTTGGTGATATAGCGATGCCCTCAATATGAAATCTGACAATAAATTTGTATATTTATAACACGTCAAAGCAACAACCACAAAATTATGGAAAAAGATTGCAGTGACCTTCCCCATATGGGGAGCAAATAATAAGCACTGGATCTAGAGTTTATTGACACAATCCAACATTCCAAATTTATAGTTTGATATCCTAAAGTTCAATCAAATTCAATAAATTATGGGAAATTTATAAATATCAATATCTAACATTATGTGGAGGAAAAGAAGGTAAAGTACAATTTGTTATGATTTGGGAAACGCAATTAGTATTTAATTGTTCACTAACTATAGTACTAGATGTTAAAAATAGTTTGTTGCTATGTGCCAAATGTCATCTGTAACTATAGATATCAAGGATTTTTCTTTACTCCATGTTGAATTTTCTTACTCTGCGCTTCAGATGAAGGCTATGCTGAATATAAAAAGATAAGAAAAGAAAAGATAAAAGAAAAAATAAATAATTCTGTCAGCCAAACATGTTCAGCATGCACATGTAGGTATGCACACATAATATTGACACTACCCTAGATAAAGCTATCACATACACCTGAAGACAAGTTTAATCAAGGAACATTATTTCATTAACAGGGTATGTAACAATTCAATTTCTTTCAGGGCCCTTGATTCTAACGTCACTTACGAGTCGAGAACGAGGTGGCACATTAGTTTTCATGATTCGCAGTGCCTTCCTCACATCCTTAGTATTGTATTTGAACATGTAGATATTATTTTAGACTTTTGTATTTTAGCCAAAGCTTATTTTGGGTTGAAACAACACTTGCTACATTGTCTGGGAGAAAATGTGTTTACTTGTGAAAGCACTTTTTTGCCAATCACATACATGATCTCAATCTGATTTATCCTTATGTTTGGCCATTGGAATTGCTTTCAAACGATCACTTTCTTTTCTATTTTTTCATTCAGGTAAGTTTTGATATGCTGTGCAGCTCCCATGCTAATACAATCGGACATGAAAAGAAAAAAAGTCTCCTGCATTAATAGGCACTCATTTTTTTTCAAGATCATTATGATCTTATGTTGATGAAATTCAAGAAATTTTCAATATGTTTATATTTGAATAAAGCCATGCTTTTACTTTACATTAACAAATCAATCAGCTTAGCTGTTGGGTCCAGCTTTAACACAAGAGTGTTTAAATTAAAGCTATGAATTTCATGAAAAACAGCAAGAAATTAGTATTATTTTTGGCGAGGAAACATTTCAATCCTTTCAAAAACCAAATAAGTACAAGTAATATCTTTTTTTTTTATATTGATGCCACATGACACATGCATTCAGATTATTTCAGTACTCCTTACCTGCTTGTGCCTGTATTTTACTTTGACAAATTAAGCTCGAGTTGTGCAACACCATGACATCAGTAGGTTACCACAGGTAAATGTATATGTGTGGGCACATCTCAGCCTTATGCCTTCTGAGGTAATTACTGAATTGTTTACACAAGTAGCTCTCACTTGAAAGGAAGAAAACCAGTGATACGGTGATGTAATCACAGAGTGAGTTAGAGAGGGTGGGGGAGAGGGAGCAAGGGAGAGGAGGAAGGAGAAAGAGAGAGAAGAAGAAGAAGAAGGAAAGAAAACAAAAGAGGAGACAGAGAGAGAGAGAGATAGAGATAAAGAGAGAGAAGCAGGGGCAGAAACAAAAAGAGATAGAGTGGGAGAGAGAGAGAGAGAGAGAGAGAGAGGACAGAGAGAAGACAGAGAGAGAGAGAGAGAGAGAGAGAGAAAGGAAGGGCAGAAACAAAAGAGAGAGAGAGAGAGTGGGAGAGAGAGAGAGAAGAGAGAAAATAGAGCAACAGAAGAAACAGACAAGAGAAAGGAGGAAGAGAGAGAGAGAGAGAGAGAGAGGAAAAGAGAGAAAGAGATAGAGATAGGAGGAGGATGATTGCCTAGCTG